TTGGTCTCATCGACTTTGATTCCTGATTCAGATAAATGGTGACCTAAGTAGGTTAGCGAGGTTTGAGAGAACAAGCATTTGTCTTTGTTTAGGGTGAAGCCAGCACCTTCAAGTTTGGTAAGTACTTCTTCTAAGAAATAGTCATGTTCTTGTTGAGTTTTCCCCCAAACAATTATGTCGTCCATATGCGCAAGTGCATTCATTTGACCTTTAAGGGTTCGATTCACGCATTCTTGGAACACTTCTGGTGCAGATGTTATTCCAAAGGGTAGTTTCAGAAATTTAAAACGTCCAAACGGTGTCAGGAACGTTGTCAAATCTTGGGATTCTTCGTCCAATGTGATCTGCCAGAATCCGTTATTAGCATCCAATTTAGAATAGCATTTTGCTTCTGAGATTTGGGCAAGTGTTATGTCGATGGGTTGAATAGGATAGTATCTTCGTTTGACGCATCTGTTTAATTTAGTAAGATCTACACAAATGCGAACTTTGTTAGAGTCCTTCTTTGGCACAACAACCATTGGAGAGCACCAGTCTGTGGCATGGTGTACCTCAGCGATCACACCCATTGACACCATTCTTTCAAGCTCTTCTTTAGTAGATTCCCAAAGAGGAAGAGGAATCCGACGAGGCGTGTTGATTGCAAATGGATTGACGTTATTTTTCAGTTCTACTTTGTATTTGACATCAATGGAACCTAAGCCTTCAAACAGTTTGGGGTGTCTGTCATACCAGTCATTACTGGATGGCTGTATTTCGTTGATTCGAGCAAGTAACTGCAAACTTGTTATTGCAGGTTTACCTAGAAGTGGCTGGGAAGTGCTTTTAGAAACATATATAGTCTCATAACATGTTTTGTGATTATGTGATAATTTTACAGTAGCAGTTCCTAAAATTGACAGAGCTTTACCATTTGCGCCACTAAATGTTTTGGACGTGGGAGTGAGCCTGATTTTCTTATTCAGTTTAATGTCGGAAGGCAAAATCGTTACGTCTGCTCCTGTATCAATTTTGAAAAGAACATCATCACTGTCATTCATATTTAACACTACAGACCATGGATCATCACACAAGTTTTTTCCTACAATGCCAATGAATGTTTGAGGGTCTATGTACTGAGAGCAAACATTTTCAATGGGTGTTTCAAGGTCAGTATCATCATATTCAATTTGACTGACTTTGTTTGATTTGCAAACATTTGGAAAATGACCAACTTTTTTACAAAACCCACATTTGTATTGTTTAGCTGGACAGTTGAATCTTTTGTGTAAAACTGTCGAACCACACCAAAAACATCTCTTTTCGACATGGGACAGGCTTTTATTGTCATTAATCCGCTTAAAATTTTGATCATTGTTTGATTTATTGGGAATAATGTTTGTCTTAATTAAATGTTGAGTATTTTTATTTATTAATGCTATGTCAGTCAAGTTAAGAGTTTGTTTTTGTCTTGATAGTTCTTCAGATCTACGGATAGTGTTTATAGCTGTGTTTAGTTTTAATTCGGGTTCAAGTTGAAGACGATCACTTAGTGTTTCGTCCCGCATACCAATAATCAAAACCATCAGAATCATCTCCTCTTCAATTTGACCCCAATCACAGTTTTTTGCATGATTGTGAAGGTCTGTGATAAAGTTCTCAATCGGCATGGAACCTTGTGTAAGTTTTAGAAACCTAGCCCGTTCAAAAATTAAGTTCTTTTTAGGAAGGAAATGATCGTCAAACTTCTGTATAACAGCTTTGAAATTAGATTTGTCATTGTCATTTAAACTGAATGAATTAAGTATGTCCTCTCCCTTTTCCCCCATACAGTAGATAAGCATGTCAATCTGATGCTTTCCAGAATGTAGAGCTAAATTACTAAGGGAATAATACCTCTCAAAACGAGTCTTCCATGTCTTCCAGTCGTGAGGATTGAAGGAAAAGGCTTCAGGAGGCTTAATGTTTAGGGATACGGGTTCTTCATTCGACTGCGCCATGTTCTATTTCTTATTTAAATAAAAATTAAAAGATCAAAAGAAACTAAACTGTTTTAATGAAGACACTAATACCAGACAATATTATTAAAGAAAAGTAAATAAAATCATATGGTTAAATATTAATTCAATAACCATAGAGGTTAAACAGTTACCTGTCAATAATGTTAAAAATTCAAAAATACTTGTTTAATGTTTAAATTCTTGGTTACTGTGATTTTCCAAGCTCGGGAGTATGTGGACAAAAGCTATAACGTTGATAACTTGTCATAAAAGTAGTGAACGCAAATTACCAAGAGCTGACAGTAACTAGCACTTGGGCTTTTAATTATAATTTTACTACTTCATTAACAAGTGCCATAAAATAGCGTGGTGTGCGTTCACTGGTTCACTATAACTTTGTAGTTGCAGCGAGGTAATGAAAATACATAATATGTCTCTTTATCGGCCAAACATTTTTGGGGTTAATTATTTAGACTCAGTGTTGTAAGGAAATCTTGTCTCAATTTACACAAATATTTTAGGTGAGGAGTTATTATAATTTTTTTTTTTTTAACTAAATTCTAGTTTTCTACATTTGAGTAGACGTGACTAAGCAAGGCTGTATAAAGTTACTTATTTTTGTTTTGGTTTCTTAGTTTATTATTACTTCGAAGGATAGTACAAAACCCACCCTTATTGCTATTTGACTTAGTTGTGTAAGCTCATTAAAATTTTAAATATGTTATCAAAATGAAAGACAGGATGTAAAATATTAAATGCTTGTTTGTGAGATTAAATCAAGTAAAAGGTACAAGCCATGAGGTATATGTTTATCCAAATATTATTACATACACTGTTATCTCTTCATATTACAATGAACATTATTTGGTACAATATTCTGAAAAGATGGCACGAGCCAACCCGGGTTAATTTAGGCTGATCTCTATTGGATAAGAGAAATAACTTGGTGGACTAAGCTTAGGGTTGCCTTGGTAAAAACTATTACTAGGGATATCCCTTTATCTTTAGGATCTGCCTTGAATGCAAGTGTTTAAGTACTTGCAAATGGTTGCTGATACAAATTGAATTATGTGTTTTGTTTCTAAAATATGTTAAGAACTGGGAGATGAAAACTATGAATATAGTTACATATTCATATGTGCCTAGTGCTGCACTAGTATTGCAACCTTGTATTTTGGATTCAGGTGAGATTCCACATTACTGTCTACTACGGCTACAAAACAATTTATTTAGCATTTTTACTATTAGTCCATATTGAGGCACAACAGATTTATGACTCTATTATTTTTGTGACACCGAACAAAATAAATGTATATTCGTCTGAATTTTTTTTTTTTTTTTTCTTTTGTAAACGTTAATTTTGTTGAAAAACATACTCCTGCATCACTAAAATTTGGGGTAATTTCCTTGATATTATTTCCTAGTTTCTGGGTATGGTATTTAATGCACATTTTACACTACACGGGTTAATAAAATACATTAACAACGGGTACTTGTCGTTCATTGTTGCAACACGACCTTAATGTTCAGAGTATATGCAACTACAGGTGTTTATCGTTTCACTAAAAACAATAATGTTATTTATACTAAATATTAGTTGCCACTTATATGTTTTACTGCTGCCCTGCTACAAATAATTATTAAACTATTACCACTAAGTTGGTTTACACAAACACTAATCTACTTCTTATTGTTTTGTAACCAATAATAGATGATTTTGATTCATTGTCACACATAATCAGTTATCAATCAGTGAGATGGGTCGTCACATAGGTGCGTATTTTAACCCAAATATGACTGAAGGATGAGTGTACATTAGGAGTGAGTGAGATGATCTGTGTCTGTGTAGTTTTGTTAGTGACTTAGTTCAGCTTTTTCTTTAGGATCATTTATGTAAAGCCCAATGATCAGGAATAGCTGGGTCTGGTTTCGAACCATCAAGATGCTACTGACTTGTCTCAGGATTGAACCATATCACAATACAACTACAAATGTGTAATAAGTCGTTACAAAACCCAATTATGTTAATTAAAACCCACTGATATTTATTGTTGAGGAGACTCTTGCGCGGGTTTCATGTTAGTACCTGCCACAATTAGTTAATTTCGATACTTTGTAAACATGGAATACTCTAGCTCGTACCTTTGTGATATTTATTAAGCAGCAGATTGGAGCTAGTCTGTTTCGACTTTATTATCATGTCATGTGGATTTTCTCAATATTATCTACAGTAATGTTCAAATATAGGTTAGTTGGTATCACCAACTTAATTTCACATTGTTGCGGTAGACGAGTCTATACACGCTGGGTGGTAGCTATTGTAACCTGCAAAACTAACGGGTAAAGTTGACCGAACTCCAGTTGGCTTTACCGGTCTCATTTTGTAAACAATGACTTTCTGGTCTAAAAAGAGTAAAGAAAGGAGTTTAACATTTTTGTACAATATGCTTACTATTTGGGGTAGTGTAACCCCCTTTGTCATAAACCGTTTCAATTGTTTAATTGTTACCCAATAACAACAACCACAATGTTGTTCTTGTTGCATAACCACAATTTTGATACATTGCCACAAATAATCATTGTTACACTACAACCAATGATGTACACTACAATACAAATCATATCAAACACAACTACTGATGTAGGTTATAACACTAAATTATGACAATTTCCATTGTTTTATAACCACTAATGTTTATTGTTCCATTATACGAGTAAACACGATTGTTCATTGCCACACTACAATCACATGTGTTCGTTCATTGTTAGCTACACTAATATATTATACACAAAGTTATTGTTTTTTTACTCTCATGTTGCCACTAATATATGCTATTGTTACACAAGCGAATAAATATTTCTACTCTCTATATTCAACTATGTTTTTTTTCTTTTTTTAATGAAATTTTTTTATAATTTTGTTTATAACTATTGTTACGTTACGACCATTAATGTTGTGTAGTCATTGTCGTTTCATGGTTGTTGAACCACTGTCACTTACCACGGTACCTATTGTTGCAGGGAGTCCGAGCGGGAGCGGGAGAGGGAGAGAGAGGGGGCGGGCCGGCGCGCTCCGTCGCTCAAGCTCGCCAACGGTCGGCTCGCGGCTCAGTCCGTGGAAGAGATCCGAAGCCCGCGGCTCGCGCACGATGACAGCATCAAAATCAGCATCGAGAACACCAACACGTGCACAGACTCGCTGGTGACAGCGCTGGATGACGAGACATTGCTGCTGACAGAACCCGACATGTTCGCGACCAAGGTGCACTTCGGAGGTGACGACCTGTCGTTGTACGGCACCCCCAAGGAGGAACCGGGACCCGCGCCCATGGGGAACCCGGGGATGCCCGACTCGGGGAAACAGAGCTTCATCAAGAACCAACTGCAAGCTCTGTTCCAACCCACCGACAACAAGCTGGCGATGAAACTGTTTGGAAGCAAGAAGGCGTTGATGAAGGAGAGGATTAGGCAGAAGGCGGCGGGTCACTGGGTGATACATCCGTGCAGTAGTTTCAGGTGCGTGATAGTGTAGTGTGTTGTGGATACTGATGGAGGTAATGCTTGCTAGTTGCTAATCGGTCAAGTTCTACTAAAGCTCTAGCCTATTGTTATCGAAACTAGTCACTAGTTTAGTTCTCTAGTTCACAATGGGTTCCATAACAGTGTACTTATAGTGGTAGCATTAGTATCCTCGTCCTGTGTGTTCTGTAATAAGTTTATACTAATTTAGTTCACTATTGACTTTGAACGCATGTGTAGGCTACTCAATACCACAAGTACACAACTAGACCGTAGGTTCACGCCAGGTAGTTACTAGAGAAGGTTAAAGCAAATTATTTCAGCAACTATAGTCGTTCACTTATCGCAAGGTAATAAACATCGCAGTTCTGGTCTGGTAAACGAGTACAGTAGTCAGTCACAATTGCTCATTGAGACTCATGTACGTGTACAACAGTTGGGAGATAGTCTAAACGTGTTGGAATCACCAGTGTACGTGATCTGATTGCCTAGGCTCACAACACAGAAGTCAGCTGATAAGACGGCGACCAAAATATTAGACTGAAAATACAAAGAATTGTGTAGGTATCCAAAACACACAAACACTAACTTTCTTTGACTAGGTTGGGTGTAAGTAGATACATCTGATACACCTAGATACATCGTCAGGTATTTGCGGTTATGTGTAATAGACATTGACTATATGTATTGACATTATTGACTATATTGGCATTGACTATATACACCTCTAAGTATATAGTAAATGCTAATAGTCTACATTAAGTCACAGGTCGGAGAGATTAGGTGCCTAGTAACATGATAAAATAGTCCACTTAAAAAAAATGTGTCTTCTATTTAGTATACATCTATGATAATAACCTAGTATCCTATAAAATATGACATGCATACTGAAATTTCAGAGCTTGGCCTCTAATAAAGTAGGATCCTGAAATAATGTGTTGACTATTAGAATGACTTTTACAAGAGTGCTGTGGAAACTTCGATCAGTTAAAAGAAAAAAAGTAAAAAGAAATTTGCAGTTCGTTTTTTAAGATAAATTAAACTAAATCTATAAAACCAAATCCGGGACCTTTTTAGTTATAAATAGCACCATTCTTTTTCCATTTTTTTGCATTATTTTTCCATGTTATTTACATCGATTTCATGTCTTCCAAGGTATTAATTTAAAAAAGTAAAATTATACACCTTAAAAATTCATTAATCTTATTGTACCAATAGAATATAAACACTGCGCAATCAAAAGAATACTTGTATGATACTAAAACAGGTTTGTTGAACATATGTCACTTTTCTGTTGCTAAACAAGCACTCATTGCATTATTTAATTGATGATAACTTTAACATTCGTACCTATTTAAAACCACTCATCCATCAGCGAAATTGTGTTTTTTTTTACTTTCTGATACAACAGTGTGTGTGAAATACCTTTATTTACCTGTAAAATGAATCGTCTTGAGTTTTAGGAAGTATAAAAACTATGTGTTGATGGTGTAGGCTGTTTATAAGGAAATTAAGAGTAGGCTATATTTAAAAGATGCTCAGATTTACTCAGACAAGTCGATTCAACAGCAACATATTTTGAACTATAAAATTCACTAAACCGATCGATGATAAGCTTTACCCATCGATATATAAACACAACATGTTTTTACCTGAAAATAAGGTGTACCATTAAGTCTCGTCAAACATCTGTTTAGTGAGTCATTGACTTTATACGCATTGAATAAGCATTGAGTGAGCATTGACTTTGGATACTGTAACACGAATGTGTTTAATCTAAGATAAAAGTTAATTAAATTGACACGTTAAGTTGCCATGGTTTTAAAAAATGAAATTGTTTGTCTTAAAAATATTTTATCATATTTAATATGTTTGGTAATAAACACGAACTTCTAAAATTAAATTGGAATTTCTTAACTTTTCGGAATGCATGTGATTTAAACGCAGAATTAAGATGTTCTTCAAAAAATAAACTCAGTTTTGTTAACTAAGACAAATTTTATTAAAAACCTGGCTACAACTTTAACATGGGGATGGAATGTCTAGTTTTACTAAGAATTATTAAGAGCTTTAACTTTGAATTAATTTCGATGACCTAAGCTTAGAAAGTTTTCAATTGCGCTAAGAATATCAATCACATGCGATCCTTTTTAATATTGACCTATAACATAGCCTAAAGTCTTAACTTATAAGTAAAAAATGTGGAAGCAAACATTTGTGAGCACGACTAGCAAGAACATTGAAAATTATAAATACTCGTTGAGAGTTTCTCAACCACTCATCGATATTTTTTTGTAATAAAGGCTTGCACTCGTAAGCACAGCGTAAATATTGATACCATTTATGAGTAAAGCTTATTAGGTTAAAGTTTAATTATTTTTGCCGTGTACTACAAATAAAATAAAACAACCAAATATTCAAGACATTTTGAACCTTGAACTGCCACTAAGCCAGAAATAATGGACCCGGAACAAAGTTAAGATAGAATTAAGATAAGGAAATTCTAATTAGTTTTATCACAAGGGGAAGATATTTCTCTTAAAAACTATTGTCATTTAAAATTTACAAGAATACTATATTAAAGAGTCTAGTTTTTATTGTGGGTTAAATAAATAAATAAATAAATAAAAATGCCTTTATTTACGAGCGAGTTTCATAATACAGTCCAACCTCAGTATAACGAATCTGAAGGGACCGAACTGAATATTCGTTATATCAAGGATTTCGTTAAAATGAGGTTCGTTATATAGAGGTTAGGTTTGCAGGAATTTCGCTAAGTCGAGGTTCAGAACCAGCGTCGGTCAATATAGGCTGGGATTTGACCTCATTAAAACACAACTAAAGTAGCATAGGCTACAATACTTTACAGTACAGTGTTTACATTGTACAGTAGAACCTAAATTATCCGGCATAATAAAGGTGAGGGATCTTAAATATTGCGCAATCATGACAATGGCATTGACCTTGGTACAGGTTAAAAACTGTAAGTTTAAAATCACAGCTTGTTCTAACCCTCCTAAAACCTAGCAAAACACTACATTGCGTAGTCATAAACCATGTAAAAAAAAAAAAAAAAAACAGTAGTAGAAAGTTTTGTAAGCTACTGCTCGCGATAGGCCGGTAGGCTACTTACACAGTACAGTACCGATTTATCACAACAGAGGAATGTCAATAATAATCATTAACTATAGCATTGGCGTTGCTAGTTGAAACAATCGTATTGAAAACAATAAATTATTAGATAAGTCATTATAAAAGTGCATATTCATAGCCAAGTTAAAGATAATAAAAACAGTCGTAAATAAAGGAATGTCAAAATAACGATGTTGCTATTCTTTCTCTTTGCTTTTGTTTTTATATTCTTTCTTAGATTTCTCTTTATCCAATAATTGTACAATTCACCATATTTACTTATCACCCAATCACAGCTTACTACAGATTACGTAGTCATCAGTCCTCAGTGAATGAAATCAGGTTCTCAGTTGCAACATTGCGTGCGCAGCGACAGCAGACAGAGAGATGTGTAAAACGGAGCAGACGAATGTTAGCGCAAGCGATTACGTCACCTTTCCATTTCATTTGATAAAGAAACAGATTGTCCAAAAAAACAATACTGGGGTGGGGGATTTGTTATATCAAGGGAAAGACGTAGACAATTCGTTATGCAGAGGTTAAATTCGCAATGTAGAGGTTCTGATAATGATAAATTCGTTATATTGAGGTGTCTTATTTTAGCCGAAATCACGAAAAATTCGTTAAATCAAGGTCGTTGTTATGGTTTGTTCGTTATGTAGAGGTAAAATATACATAGTCTCTTATGGAGAGTTCTAGGGGATTAAAAAAAATTCGTTATATCAAGGAATTCGTTATATTGGGGTTCGTTATATCAAGGTTAGACTGTACATGATTTTCAAACCAACTCAAGTCACTAAATCCTAAATCTAAACTATCCTAATACAAGAAATGTCAACAGAATGATTTACAACATAAATTTTACACTTGTTTTTTTAATTGCGGCCCTGAATGAGTTATAAGATTTCGAACCCTTAATCACTTGAGGGAGGCCATTGTACAACTGCGGGCCGAAATAAGAAAGAAATACTATAATAAAGTATTCAAACTTTTAACACTGCATGCCGACAGTAGTATTGCACGTCTTCTTGGATTAACCAACCATGCTTCCTATTGATTATTATCTTCAATGATAATAATTCATTTATGTTAGGAAAAGACCGGTACGTCTTGGAGCATTTGATGTTGTTTCATGTGTTATTCTTATAACTTTAAAATTATCACGAATGACTGTGGCGAAATGTTATAATCTTTGTAACATAATATCGAGATGCAAATCATCAGCTGGAGAGCACAGTAAAAGACAGTACCTAATCGTGGTACCTACTAGCCGATGTTTTACACTAAACATACATATATCATAAATACAAAACATAGATACATACAGAATTATAAAGATCAGCTGTAAATGTATTTTCGCTACACTACTTGAAATTACCTGTTTTCGTTACATGTTTATTGCCTGCGAAAATTCATCATTACATTGTTTACTACGAAAAAAAATGATCACTATGCGAAAGTAATGTTTACTTTTTTTGGATTTTTCTGACGTATACAAACAATGATTTCTTATTATTTTGTCAACATTCAATTTTCAACAACCAAAACTCTACAATCAAAGTATATTTTTGAGCGGAGCGAGCGAAGCGAGCGAAGCTCTTATACGTCGACTTTTATGCATTTCGTAATACGCAAACTCCTCCTAGACGGCTGAATCAATCGTTTTCAAATTTTGCATGGTGATAAAGACCATATCGGTGAGTGCCAACATCTATATAGCGTTAAAAAAGTCTCTCAGGAATCCGTAGAAAAATGAAACTGAAAATCACATTTTTTTAACATTAGTCTTATGGGTTGCTAGGTAACCATGTTGGCTGAATTAAATAACAAGTAAAAAGTAAACAAAAGATTTGAAGTTTTAGCAT